GACTTCAGACCAGCTCTCTGACTAACTGAGCCGGACCCGGACCCGGACCCGTTTAAAACCAGAACTTCTCTGTTCTTCGGACACAAAATGGCGGACGAGGCCACGCGCAGGGCCGTGTCGCAGATCCCGCTGCTGAAGACGCACGCGGGGCCGCGGGACCGCGCGCTGTGGCCGCAGCGGCTGAAGGAGGAGTACCAGGCTCTGATCCACTTCGTGGAGCAGAACAAGGCGGCCGACAACGACTGGTTCCGCCTCGAGTCCAACGCGGACGGCACGCGCTGGACCGGCACGTGCTGGTTCATCCACGAGCTGCTGCGCTACGAGTTCCGGCTGGAGTTCGACATCCCGGTCACGTACCCGGACACCGCGCCCGAGGTGGCGGTCCCGGAGCTGGACGGGAAGACCGCCAAGATGTACCGCGGGGGGAGGATCTGCCTGACGGACCACTTCGCGCCACTCTGGGCTCGGAACGCGCCGCGTTTCGGCCTGGCGCACCTCATGGCGCTGGGACTCGGACCGTGGCTAGCAGTGGAGGTCCCGGACCTGATTAGTAAGGGGCTGGTGGTCCACAAGGAGCAGCAGCGCGAGGCGGCGGCGGAGTGACGTCACTGGACGAAATGTTAAAGACGCGGACCTGAAGCCGAACGGGGTCTGGTTCAGAGGCCACCGAGACCGGACCGGACCGTGTGGTGACGAAATGAACTGATGAATGCTGACATTTATTTAGATGTAAAACATAAAGAAATAAACACGAAATATTCTTCTGTGACTCGAACATGATCAGGGTCTGGTTCAGAATCAGAAAACCATCAATAATACAATGATATATAGTTAAATATATATATGTAAATACTAAAACAATACAAAGGCAAACAGGGCAGGTGAAGTGCTTTTTAAGTTTAGCAACATTTAGTCCACTGCCTGCTTTCTCTCTCAGGAGTCCGGTGGGAACAAACCAGTTCAGTCCGTCAGTAGTTGAGGAGCTCCAGTAATGTCCAGCAGGCTGCAGGGCTGTTTGATGCACGTTAAACACTGGATCAACTGATTCTTGTGTCTTTAACACAGATCATGCAGTCATTAATAAATTAATTGTGACAAAAAGTTACAATAACAGATTATTTTTCCATGAGCCGCCTCTGTTATTATAGCATCACTGAGCTTATTTGGCAGCTTGTTTAACAGCTTATTGGACTGGAACTCTTCTTCTACAGCTGGAGATGTGCAGGTTGATCAGCTGGGGACTGAAAAAGGCTGTTTGTTTCGCTTTAGACAAGCAATCAGTGCCTCCATGTCAGTAACAGGATATGTCTTGTCCCTGTGTCCACTCAAAAACAATTCATATAGCATGAGACAATTTGATTCTATTAACCATAAAAACCTGGAGGACATAATACAACATCTGAAATCCTCCTCATGCTGCCTTGACATTCTGCCAACAGGTTTTTTCAAAAATGTTTCTAAATGCATGGCCTCAGGTTTACTACAAATTGTCAACATGTCTCTCCTCTCAGGTTTTTTCCCACAGGCCCTGAAAACTGCAGTCATTAAGCCACTCTTAAAAAAGAGCAATCTAGACAGTTCACTAATGAGCAATTATAGGCCCATATCAAATCTCCCATTTTTAAGTAAAATCATTGTAAAGGCTGTTTTTCAACAGCTTAGTGCTTTCTTGGCACTAACTAACTGTTTTGATGTCTTCCAGTCAGGTTTTCGACCACACCACAGCACTGAGACGGCTCTTGTTAAGATCTTCAATTCAATTGAATTCATCCATTTAAACACTGACAGTGGCAGAATTTTAGTCTTAGTATTATTGGATCTCAGTGCTGCATTCGACACGGTCGACCACAACATATTACTAGACAGACTTGAAAACTGGGTTGGACTTTGTGGTACTAATCTGGGTTGAATTCTACTTAAACGACAGGGACTACTTTGTGTCTATAGGTAATCACACATCTGAGCTGACAAAAATGACATATGGAGTTCCCCAAGGCTCCATTCTGGGGCCTCTTTTGTTTAACATTTACATGCTTCCACTGGCTCAGATTATGAAAAACAACAAAATATGTTACCATAATTATGCAGATGACACACAGATTTACATAACCATTTCACCAGGGGACTATGATCCCATACAGGCGCTGAGTAACTGTATTGAGCAGGTCAACGATTCGACGAACGAAGTTATTGTTTTTGGAGCCGACGATTGAAAGTCAGTGCTCGACTTCAATCTGTAATTTTAAGAACCACAGACCAAGCCAGAAATCTTGGTGTAGTCATGGACTCAGACCTGAATTTGAGGAGCCATATTAAGACAATTACAAAGTCAGCCTACTATCACCTGAAGAATAGATCAAGGATTAAAGGACTTATGTCTCAGCAGGACCTGGAAAAGCTTATCCATGCATTTATCTTCAGTCGACTCGACTACTTTAACGGTGTCCTTACAGGTCTTCCTAAAAAATCCATCAGACAGCTACAGCTGATTCAGGACGCTGCTGCTCGAGTCCTCACTAAGACCAAAAAGGTGGATCACATCACTCCAGTTCTGAGGTCTTTACATTGGCTTCCTGCTGTTAGTTTATAAAGCACTAAATGGTTTAGGGCCAAAATACATTTCTGATCTGCTTTGTTATGAACCATCCAGACCTCTCAGGTCGTCTGGGGCAGAATTAAATATTTAAGACTTTTCTTTTTACCACTGCCTTTAACTAGTAGATTGATAACTTACACTGCACTGTAACTTTTACTGTCCTGTTTTCTTTTTCTTTGTTTTTAGCTTTTTAATGTGTATTTGTTCAATTTTCCTACGTTGCTTTTAAAATGATATTTCCTTGTTGCTTTTATGTTTTATGTAAAGCACTTTGAATTACTTTGTTGTTGAAATGTGCTATACAAATAAACTTGCCTTGTTTGCTCGGCTACGACCGGTGACCGGGGCTGAGCAGGGTCAAATATCCAATTTTACACGTTACAAACAGGCTGCGCCGTGTTTCACATGTGTGCACAGACAGTAAGCTCATGTCACAGCCGCACAGGCTGAAACACATTTCAGGTGTGTGGAAGTTATTCACGCAGCGCTCCCTCTGCAGAGAAACCCAGAAAGAGCCGCGGTGGACATTAAAAGCAGGGAGCAGGTGAAGACTCATGGTCATTCAGACCGCGTGGTCTCTATTGGTGATTAACAACAAGCCTCCTCCACATGCTGGGAAAACCAAACAAGTTCTTATAAATAAAACAGCTGACAGAGATGACAGGTGGAGCTTCTGTGTCTGAGGGGAAAGCAAGGTGAGCAGATTACTGTAGTTTGTGATTAAACACAAATTAAGAAGAATTAAAATTGTGTGCAATTTATTTTCAGCTCCTTCCAGTGAAAATGTTATTTTATAATCAGTGTTTCATTCTGACCAGTGAGACCAGCCAACGTTTATACTGGTGCTGATGGGGGTCAAAAAGATTTTTCCAATAAATAGTTACAAGATGTTTGTGTGTGCTGTCAGTTGTAGATCTTAGAAAGAAAATGGGAATCGGCCCAAATCAGAATCTGCAGGTCAAACCTTTTAAAAACCAGTAACTGGAATCAGTGCATCTCTCACTACAGCGATAATCCTGAGTGTGATCCGACATTAGGCTGAGACCACAGATCCACCGTTGTGATGGCTTTTGCGCATTATGATGTTAAGTAGCAGATGATTTGGCCTGCTGCTGTTAAATATCTGATGTCTGTAAGAGACGTCCTCCTAAACGACTTTGCAGCCTAGAGGACGCAAGTGATTTAGGATAATATGGCCGCGTGGTGAACCGAAGAACTGAAGTCATATTTAAATAACTATTGCTATACTTTAACTTCTCTCTGTGTACATGTATCCTATACAAGTACACTTTTGGCTGTATTATTTGTGTCCCCCTCAACAATTGCTCTCATGAAAGTTTATTGTCCCCCCCTACTGTGAGATGAGATTTACGCCCATGCCGACACCAGACCAGAAATATTCTTCTGTAACTAAAACATAATCAGGGTCTGGTTCAGAACCAGAGGCCACCGACAGGACGACCTGACTGCTAATGTTCAGTAATAACGTAATATGATTCTGTATGAGTGAGTTAAAATGGTGAAAACATGAACAGGGTCTGGTTGCCAAACATGCAGCTCTATGTTAGTAAGGCCTCCAGGTCCAGGTTGTCCCCCCTCTTGTTCACAGGAGCCCAAACACACCAATAATGTACTAATGATAACGTACGGAGAGAAGTTCTGCCTCACACAGACAACTAAATAAAGTGATGAGTGATTTTATTTTTTTATTTCCTGTGTCTCAGTTGGAGCAGCAGCAGAGTGAAAACGTTTGACTTCAGGACAAGAAGAGAAATAGTGTTTCAAGAGAAACTGGACTTTCATTTCATCAAATCTCAAAAAAATTGATCTTCTAAATCAGTCCAAACAGAACCAGTAGACCAGAGAACAAGTAGACCACAGAACCTGAAGACCACACAGAACCAGTAGACCAGAGAACCAGTAGGCCAGAGAACCTGAAGACCACACAGAACCAGTCGACCAGAAAACCTGTAGAGCCGAGAACCAGTGGACCAGAGAACCTGTAGACCACACAGAATCTGTAGACCGCAGAACCAGTAGACCAGAGAACCTGTAGACCACACAGACCCTGAAGACCACACAGAACCTGTAGACCACACAGAACCTGAAGGCCAGAGAACCTGTAGACCACACAGAACCTGTAGACCACACAGAACCTGTCCTGCAGCCTGTTGGAACAGGAGACGTGGTGAAACTCTGGTTCCACTACATAAATACTGAATAAAAAAAAACTCAAACCGTCTCGACGTTCTGCTTCATAGTTTGAAACTTATTACAAGGATGTCGTTTAGTCTGTAAATTGATGAACTAAAGTGATGATGACGACAACAACGACGACTGCAGAAAGTTTCCAGGTTCTCACATGAAAGAAAACAAAAAGTCTTTATTTGTAGTTTCAGGTTTATTTCGGGTCACATGCTTCAGTACACTTGAATAAGCTCCACCCACTCCGCAAGAGGCCACACCCCGTTTTCCTGCACGTTGCTAGGTGACGTCTTCCAGTCCCAGCTCCTCACGGGGACGCTCCAGCTGGCGCCGTAGTTCGCCTTCACGTAGTCAAGCGTTTCGCAGGGAACACGCACCTTCAGCTCCAGAAGCTCTGCCCAGCAGAGCGAGAAGCGAGGGAAGACGTACCTGAGGGGAGACATAATCAGAATCCGGTTTATTTTCACACACCAGGAATTTGCCTTGGTATAAAGTGGTGCTCACAGTACACAAGATAAATAAAAATAAATACATAGCTTCTGTGTAGTGAAGCTTCGGTTAACGTAGAGTAGCTAGTAGCTCAGTTCACCACATTCCCGACAAGCTCGCCCAACACTGCGGCAGGTGGAGATGGAGGAGGTGACAACGGACTCAATGATGGCGGAGTAGAGCTGTGCCATCACTGACTTTGGCAGGCTGAACTTCAGCTGCCGCAGAAAGTACGTCCTGACACACCTGAGCCATTATTAACTCTTCACTGCGTTCATGAACAGACCTGAAGGCATTCTTAACAACCAGTTCTGTCTGTCCTCCAGCACCTTCTACACCGATAGTCACCCAGAGTGACGGCAGCAGTAGATCTGGGAGCTCATGATGCAACTCCCCAACAGCTGCAGGACACAAGCAGCCCAGGACCTGTCTGGACCTGTCTGGTACCATGTTGGACCTGTCCACGCTGGACCTGTCCACGCTGGACCTGTCCACGCTGGACCTGTCCACGCTGGACCTGTCCACGCTGGACCAGTCTGGTACCATGTTGGACCTGTCTGGTACCATGTTGGACCTGACCACACTGGACCATGCTGGACCTGACCACGCTGGACCTGACCACGCTGGACCACGCTGGACCTGTCCACGCTGGACCAGTCTGGTACCATGCTGGACCTGACCACGCTGGACCAGTCTGGTACCATGCTGGACCTGTCCACGCTGGACCAGTCTGGTACCACGCTGGACCACACTGGACCTGTCCACGCTGGACCAGTCTGGTACCATGCTGGACCTGTCCACGCTGGACCATGCTGGACCTGTCTGGTACCATGTTGGACCTGTCCACGCTGGAACCACGCTGGACCTGTCTGGTACCATGTTGGACCTGTCCACGCTGGAACCACGCTGGACCTGTCTGGTACCATGTTGGACCTGTCCACGCTGGACCATGCTGGACCTGTCTGGTACCATGCTGGACCTGTCCACGCTGGACCATGCTGGACCTGTCTGGTACCATGTTGGACCTGTCCACGCTGGAACCACGCTGGACCTGTCTGGTACCATGTTGGACCTGTCCACGATGGAACCACGCTGGACCTGTCTGGTACCATGTTGGACCTGTCCATGCTGGAACCACGCTGGACCTGTCCACGCTGGACCAGTCTGGTACCATGCTGGACCTGTCCACGCTGGACCTGTCCACGCTGGACCATGCTGGACCTGTCTGGTACCATGTTGGACCTGTCCACGCTGGACCGGACCACGCTGGACCTGTCCACGCTGGACCAGACCACGCTGGACCTGTCCACGCTGGACCAGTCTGGTACCATGCTGGACCTGACCACGCTGGACCAGTCTGGTACCATGCTAGACCTGACCACGCTGGACCTGTCCACGCTGGACCACACTGGACCTGTCCACTCTGGACCTGTCTGGTACCATGCTGGACCTGTCCACGTTGGACCTGTCTGGTACCACGCCGGACCACACTGGACCTGTCTGGTACCATGCTGGACCTGTACCATGTTGGACCACACTGGACCTGTCCCATGTTGGACCACACTGGACCTGTCCACGCTGGACCACGCTGGACCACACTGGACCTGTCTGGTACCATGTTGGACCTGTCCACGCTGGACCACGCTGGACCATGCTGGACCTGTCTGGTACCATGCTGGACCTGTCCACGCTGGACCTGTCCACGCTGGACCACGCTGGACCAGTCCACGCTGGACCACGCTGGACCAGTCCACGCTGGACCACGCTGGACCTGTCCACGCTGGACCACGCTGGACCAGTCCACGCTGGACCACGCTGGACCAGTCCACGCTGGACCACGCTGGACCACGCTGGACCAGTCCACGCTGGACCACGCTGGACCAGTCCACGCTGGACCAGTCCACGCTGGACCAGTCCACGCTGGACCAGTCCACGCTGGAACCACGCTGGACCAGTCCACGCTGGACCACGCTGGAACCACGCTGGACCAGTCCACGCTGGACCACGCTGGAACCACGCTGGACCAGTCCACGCTGGACCAGTCCACGCTGGACCACGCTGGAACCACGCTGGACCATTCTGGTACCATGCTGGACCAGTCCACGCTGGACCTGTCCACGCTGGACCACGCTGGAACCACGCTGGACCTGTCCACGCTGGACCACGCTGGAACCACGCTGGACCTGTCCACGCTGGACCACGCTGGAACCACGCTGGACCATTCTGGTACCATGCTGGACCTGTCCACGCTGGACCTGTCCACGCTGGACCTGTCTGGTACCATGTTGGGCCTGTCCACGCTGGAACCACGCTGGACCTGTCCACGCTGGACCTGTCCACGCTGGACCAGTCTGGTACCATGCTGGACCTGACCACGCTGGATCTGACCACGCTGGACCTGTCCACGCTGGACCACGCTGGACCTGTCCCATGTTGGACCACACTGGACCTGTCCCATGTTGGACCACACTGGACCTGTCCCATGTTGGACCTGTCCACGCTGGACCAGTCTGGTACCACACTGGAACTGTCTGGTACCACGCTGGACCAGTCCACGCTGGACCACGCTGGACCAGTCTGGTACCATGCTGGACCTGTCCACGCTGGACCTGTCTGGTACCATGTTGGACCAGTCCACGCTGGACCTGTCTGGGACCACGCTGGACCTGTCCATGCTGGACTAGTCTGGTACCACGCTGGACCTGTCCACGCTGGACCTGTCCAGTCTGGTACCACGCTGGACCTGTCCACGCTGGACCTGTCCTGTCTGGTACCACGCTGGACCAGTCCACGCTGGACCATGCTGGACCTGTCTGGTACCATGTTGGACCTGTCCACGCTGGACCTGTCCACGCTGGACCTGTCTGGTACCACGCTGGACCACCCTGGACCTGTCTTGATACCACGCTGGACCTGTCTGGGACCACGCTGGACCTGTCCACGCTGGACCTGTCTGGTACCACGCTGGACCTGTCTTGATACCACGCTGGATCTGTTTGGTACTACACTGGGACCCAGGTTTGGCCTTCTGTCAACATGGCAAATTGTAGACCGCAGCGGCCTCCTCAGTGTGCGCCGCATGGTGTCATGAGACTTTCTAATGAAATGATTTTGTCCTTATTACTGACTGACTACAGATTTGCATGGATATGTTTTTATATCGGGTCCCGCAGAAAGAGTTCCGAGTGGAGCCAGACAGATGTTGACAGGCGTGTCGGTGAACGCCGACCTAAAGAGACAGTAATCTGATTTACTTGAACTTCCTGCCGCTCTTCGCCTGCGTTCCTCCGTTCCACACGACGTCTCCGTCCTCGTAGAAGAAGAAAACATCCAGTTTGACGTCGTCACTCAGAAAGGAAAGCTCTAGACTGTCCTCCACCTGCATTTCAAAATAAACACCAGCTTTAGAATTAATTAAAAAATAAGACACCCACCTGCTTCACCATAAAGTGAGCATCTTTTGGCTTCAGTGTCCAATCAGCATTCACTCCAGGGTCACATGACTGATTGATCGTCACACGCTTTGAACGCCTCACGAAGGAGTTAAACGTCACTTCCTGTGTGCCTTCTGTGGCGCTAGTGAGCACCTGCTAATTTACACGCTATGGCTTGTATAATATAACAAAGGGCTCACTTCCTGTTGCCAGCAGGTGGCGCTATGACATTGAGTGAATATCGGCTTGTACATGTGTTCAAGACGGGACTCTTTTCAAAATGTAAAATATGGTGCAGATCTGAGTATGTACACTGCAGTTACAACAACTTGTTGGTGTGTTGTTTCATGGCGAATCAGCGATTCTTGACGAGCGTGCCCATAGTGTGGTGTCGAAAATCGCTGATTCGCGTAGGAACAGGAAGTTGTTGTAACTTCTGTTTCACGACAGCTCACAGATAGCTTAAGTTTTCAGTGTCGATGACTTTAGACTGCACAGGGAAAAGCTGAAGTCGGTCGGACTAATTCTGTAGGAGGACTTCGTTAAAGTGCGGC